GGTTAAAAAAAAAAAAAAAAAAAAAAAAAAAGGCAGGACGAGGGGGTTGTCCGGTGAAGGAGAGCTAGGCGGCGACTGACGTGTCATCTACTAGACTAGCATGGGCCTCGATCCACTGCACATCACTCCACATGCACGTGGACGCGTGCAAGACCAGGTGCATTCCGACGAGTCCAACATTCGGAATGAACCTAGTCGCCACCGCGTCCAAATGGATGTAGTGTCTTGTGTAGTGGGCCGAGGCCGCATGGCTGAAATCGAATAATTCGAGAGAACTTCGGATCCTTCCGTGCTTTCTCCCTCCTCCACCTTCAAGTTGGTCGTACTGCTCCCAGAGATAGGGTCTAGTTGTGTTGCACCAGTCGCCATCCGGCAAAATTCTGAACGAATCTGATCAGGAAGTTTGTCCTGATGCATTCGAAATGTTGACCGATGGTGAGTAGTGCAACTACGGTAGGCCCATAGATCAATGCCGGTAGAAAGGAGGAGAAGGTGTGAGAGATAGGAAAGAAACGTGCTATGATACAACCATCATGGCCCTTGCTCCACTACTCTCGACATGCACAAACGACAAAAATCATGGCCGTGTATCTTTCCATGTTCTAGCCGAAGATTCTCACTCTCGTTTTTTTTTTTGTTTTTTTTTTTGCACATTTCGAGACTATCGGAGTGAGGCCCATGTCTCGTCGCAGATGCGCATCTCCGCACTTCCCATGTAACGGACTGGCCTGGCGTAGTTGGCACACCCCCCTGAACTGAATTGTTGGGAAAAAAAAAAAAAAAAAAAAAAAAAAAAAAAAAAAAACAGATCTGAGTTTTTTTTTTCCTTTTTTTCTTTTTCTTTTTACAAGAACAAAATCTTATATTTCAAATGACAGAAGTAACAAGATGAGGCCGGGGTCCTCACAATTCAACCCGGGTTATCTGACAGCATCAGCCAGCTTAGCTTACAGGCTTTCGCCTGCGGAGGTCAGACCTACTGACTCCCAGACTTCCGACTTCCTGACCTACCTGAACTTCGGCGATGCTACAACAGTACCCATCCAGAATCCGAATACCACAGTAAGGCTGGTCTAACAACAATAATAGACTGTGAGGAACTGAGATTATACAGAATGACCCGACTGTCCAAATTACAACCTGCCTACATCAACTAGCAGACACTCCTACTTACCTCACTGGAGTCCCATCCTGAAAACTTCTGCCTTTCGTTGTTTCGTGTAAAAGGACATATACCAATTCTTCAATGTATTACGATTCCTTCCTCTGCGGAGCTCTAGCCTTTTTTTTTTTTTTTTTTTTTTTTTTTTTTTTTTAGAAAGGGGCCCCAGTGCCCAAGGCTTGTATTATCAATGAAGATGTTGAGGCCGGGGTCCTCACAGTCTACCCGGAGTGGAAAAAAACAAAAAACTGCTGAGAACCGGGCTCAGCGTCCCTCTTATGAATAATCAGATAATCATGCTGATGTAAATAACTGTTGGGGTTTTACTTTGAGCCTCTTCACCCGTTACCGAGCGCCAGAAAGAACTTTTCTCATCTAGCTCTGTTCAAACCTCAATGTACTACTCTTTTGAGTTCACCTCAACATTTGACCATAGACATTGGTGCTGGAGGTATCTACCTAGCACCTTGTCAACCTCATTTGGGATCTTCATACCCATACTATAATCTGSGAACAGGGATCATTCATACCCATACCATGATCTGGGAACTAGACAAAGATTTGGTGGGGGAAAAGGATCAGGGAAGTCTGTCAGGGGCCTTAATGAGAAGACTGAGTCAACTTCAATCCAATTATTGAAGATCAAGTGATAATTCCTTAGAGGCCCAGCCTGGTCATTTTCTTGAGCTCCCTCCCAAACCACCCGCCCTAGCCTCCCTCCCTTGTCCCCTCCAAGCCAGCTTTGGTTAAATGATGTAATATGTTGCATAATTTCTTGTTTTTGTGACAAATGTAATATTTTTCCTTTTAGTTTTTCCCATTTAGTAGTAATCTCAGTTTCTATATGTTGCTTAATAGTTTCAGTGAATTCTGGTCCATCAAGATGTGCTCCTTCCATTTCAAAGGTACATCTTCGTGTCCATATTGCCCAAATAACTGCTCTCCTTCCCACAGTGAATAAGTTAGATGTAAATTCATCAATCTGGTAGGGATTCCAGGATTCCAAGAGCAACGCCTTCCAATCCCAGGGCCAGGGGGTAGATGTTCCCAAATGACCCCAAATTCTATCCCACCAACGCCATAGCCAAACTGATCCTGGGCATTGAAGGAAAATGTGCTCTAAAGTTTCCGGAATTAGTTTAGAAGGAAATGCTGATTTACAAAATTTACACCACGGTTGAGCTATTCCTTTTTGTCCTAATGAGGTTCTATCTATAATCCAATCATTTGTGGGAAGACAGCGATGGGCAATCTGCCATTGCAAGGATGCTACCTTAGCTGGCCGAGATTTGATATTGAGAAACCATTTAACTGAATGTAACTCTTCCTTGCTTACATTAAGGTGTTTCATCCATCGGGCTTCTATTCGATCTTTTATGTTCACCTTTGGGCGAAGCATCTTATAAGTTGATTTAACTGTTAATTTATGAAGTGATCTAGAATATGAGTGACCTCTTCCCCCTGAATAAGACCAGGTCCAGTTTACAGGATCAATGGGTAAGTTAAAAATGGGTGTATCTGGTTTGAAAGCTAGCCATTTATCTTGGATTTTTAAAACCCTGATTCGAAATAGCTGAT